CTCAACCAAATAAACCCAATAAGCCATACTCATTGCTAACCCTACGGTGTTGATTAGCATAAAATCAGTTGCTGATGCTAATTCTTGATTTCTTAATTGTTCTAAAAGAGTGCTTAGGTACGCAGAGTTGTGATCTATGCCTTTAATTTCGATCATTAATGTTTAGATTATCGTATGAAATAAATTAAAATAAATTCAAAAAGATGATATTTGTGATTAGCATTTAATTTTAATTAGTAGTAAGATGACTCTCGATATAGTGATGTCATAAAAAAAAGTCTTGGCTAAATTTATATCGAGAACATTATATATACACTATATATACTTTACTATATAGAAATGTAATTTAAGTAATATCTTAATAATAGAGAATCACTATATTAAAAATTCCCTATAACGAGAGTGATTTATACAAATAACAATAATGAATATACTTACAATATGCGACAAAAGATATCCACGAATACAAACAGATACCGAACAAAATAAGGTAATAGTTCGATGCTCGCTTATATCCTTCGTTAGTTGACACAGAATTTTTAATTGCTCCTTGAGGTGTCCAAAACCAGAACATAAAAGCGAGCACTGGTGAGATCTAACAATATAATAATATTGTATACATTAAATGTATGTTAATACATTTGAATTATAAGAATTAAATGATTAATTAATTGAATACGAATACACATCTAGTAAAATACATAAATTATAATTATATATATATATAGTATGAATGTGACTAAATTTCCTCTCGTGACTTGAAATTCACTCAGTATGATGAAAAAGGTGGACATTATCTATTCGGTATATTAGGAAAAAAAATTTGTAGGTCAATGTGGATCTTCTTTACTACAGTATATACATAATTTTTATAATGATAAACTGAATAATTTCACATCTCATGATCCTGTGAGCGATTTTTGTGCCATTCGAGAAGAATCACAAGGTATTATCCATTCTTGTCTTATACTATATTCAGATAGATATCCCGTGACCCTGAAGGTGGCTTTGTGAGAATTTTTTTTGTATGTACCATTAAATTTCAGAATCTCAAATAGTCATAAAAGAACTAAATTTGTTCGGTTTTTTTTTCTTTATTATTATATTGTATACAGTATATTAGTAATAGAAATACCCCGGGATCTTGATATCGATATAGTATTTTAACTTTTAAATGAATGTTGTCAAGGAAAGGGCACATTGCGACGCATTTGTAAAATACCCCAAAATTTTGACCACCGATTGTGAGTCATTTAATTG